TTGGATCAAGGATCATTACTCCTTCAAGTGCGACCCAGATTCGGCGCCCTCTTTTGGTTCTGAATATGGAAAATTTACTGGCGTTTTGGACCTTTTCTGCGCAGGTTACTAGAGGTACCGACATCCAGACAATGGCAGTATCGAGGACGAGGAGAAGCGCGATATTTCCAGGTTGCACCTCTCTCGCCCGTCAGTTGCTAGCGCTCACTCGGACGAGTCCACCAGGTGGTGGCTTCGAGTTTCAGGCTGGATACAAGATCAAGTACGTCTTCTACCTGCGCAGATGTCTTCAGGGGCTGGAGTCCCCACGCGGACAGACCTGGCGACCGCAGACCCCCCTCGCCCCCGAGAGTCTGCGGCATGGACCAACTCAGGGGGCGCCCAAGGGCCCAGCGAGGGGAGGGGGGGCGTCTCGGGAGCCAGGTCGGAGGCCATCCTTCGTCTGCACATCCCCCCACGTTGCGATGCACGCAGCTTAGAAGAAAACAAAAAAAAGGAGACAACCGAGGCGCGGTTTCTTGGTTAATCGACCCATGCAGGCGCCAGCAGACATGCCGACATCAGGTCACGGCCAAGTCGTGGGCCGAGACAGGTATGATTGGATTTGCGCCTTGATGAACATGCACAATTTTTCTGAAGAAGCTCTTTTGATGATGGGAAGTTCGGCTGTGAAAATATGCCAGTCATCAGAGAGAAAAGCCTCACGTGACAGCTATCAGGAGCCCCAGTTGTGGGTGCAGGCCTCCTTTCAGCACAGCGTGGACAAGCTCCACAGGTACGCCAAACCCAAGGCCCGCATCGAGACGGAGTTCCGAGACGACCTGGACAGCTCCACAAACCTTCAGACTATCATGGATCGCAAGGGCACGCTGTGGCAGAAAAAGTTGGTTTCCAAGGTACTTTCGTTGCAACGTTTGCACCCTCCCCTGCGAGAGGCCCATCAACGAGCCCGGGGCAACCCTTGGCCGCCTCTGACAGACGAACAGGCGGCATTAGTTGTGAAGCAAACCAATTCGAAGAAAGCATCAGGTTTCGAACAGTTGGGAGGCACGCTCAAGTATTTACCCCCAGCAGGTATTTCGCATCTTACCAAGTTTTTGAACCTGTGCGAATCTCGTGGAGGATGGCCGCGACAAGTTCATACCACTACCGTAGCTTTTCTGAGAAAAGGACCAACCACAGATCACTCCATCGGGTTGATCCCAGATTGTATTCGGCTTTGGAGTTCGGCCAGACAGATTTACAGTTCAGAGTGGGCTGGGCAGATGGCAGGCACATGTGATAATGCAGTACGTGGTTCATCTTGTCTCAGAGTAGGTCTACTCAGAGCTTTCACCGACGAAGCTATCAAGATGGGGCCGTCGCGCACAGTGTCGGCTAGCCTGCTCTGAGACATCGATGGTTTTTACGACTCGCTCGAATGCAAGAGACTCTTCGAGCAGGGTATTTATTTGCAGTTCCCGCCCTTGGTCCTCCTGGTGGAAGGTCTCGCCCATCTCCTCGTGCGCGTATTTCGAGAAGAAGGTTGTTTTTCTTTGCCTGTGCAGGGAGGCAAGAGCATCATTGCAGGCGCCCGCGGAGGGCTCGATTTCGGCAGATTTTATGTATATAGTATTCTGGAAGCCGTACTCAACAAGTACTACCCTACGGCCATCACTAGCTCCTGGGTGGACGATGTCGCGCAATACGCGTTTGGCTCCGTCAGGTTCCTCACGCAGGCCCTCCCCGAGGCGGGGCCCCGACTGGGCAGGCTGCGCAGCAAGGCGCACCTCAACATGGCAAGCAAAAGCAACATCATCGCAGGGGACAGAGGACTAGCAATCGAACTTGCACGCAGGCTCGCTCAGCATAACATCAAAATTACCGTCGCACAAAAAGCCGTGGATCTTGCGGCCGATCGCGGTGCTAACATGCGAGCCCGTCCTAAGGCAGCAGCTAGAATATTCGCGGCATGGAAACAAGCCAGCAAAGCAAATAAGCTCAAAGGTGCAGGCAGAACGGGCAGGTGCGCAGCACGGCGTGTTATACACAGAGGTAGCATGGCAAAAGTTCAATATGACGCGCACGTGTACGGCATGAGCCCATCAGCTATCCAGTCATGGAGAAGAGCTATAGGAGGTGCGTTTACAGCTGCTGACAGAGGGCGTCGTTTGGACACCCTGCTCCAGCTGGAGATGAATGAGCAGGGCCCCGCCATCAGCCAAGCTTTTCGGATGCTCGACAGCTGGGTGACAATCCTCACAGCAGGCGCCAAGCAAAGAGTTTTTGCGGCCAGAGACTGGGCGGAGCATGTTGCACGTGCGAGAGCTAGCCCCCAGCGTCGCTGGCGAAACGTCAAGGGCCCCACGAGGGCCGCAGTGCACACCTTGCTCGACATCAACGGGGATCCTGCGGGGCCTATGCATTGCATGGGTATCCGATCTTGGGAACGTTTATCAGGCCACTCCAGAGATCCTCGAAGCCGGGCCCCTCGACCTAGAAGATTTTCGAGAATATCTAGCCGGTTCAGTTCGTCGTATGCTATGAAACCGCGATGCAAAACATGCCGAGAGTGAACGCATCGAGCAGGGCATCGACCTTTCGGACGTTAGGCGACAAATTCGACGAGCTAGAGATCGAGAACAATCTCGGCGCAATGTTTGCTGCGGAGGCCAATGGGCCAAGCAGAGAATTAAATATGTCATCGGCCCGCCAGATTTTGCTGTGCTGTGTGACCGCTGCGAAGGAGGATATGTCGAGACTACCTTTCACCGAATTTGGGAATGCACTGCCCATGGCGACTTACCCTCAGTCGCCAGCAGCAATTTGTACGCGCACAGGGCAAGGGCCCAAGTTGAGGCGCAACCAGCTTTGGTTTTGAGGTCTTACTCCTTCGGAGTGGACACACGTCCCAAGACCCCCTGAAGAAGCCGAGATTTTATACCACGCCTTCGGCGACTTCCCACAAGGGGGTGCATTTATCGTTGGAGCTGGAGACGCCTCTGGAGGCAAGTGCTCGGGAGACTCTAGATTCAGGCGTGTCTCGTGGGCTTATGTGGTTTTCGAGGGTTTCGATATCCCCGACCCCGTTCCCGACCTCAGAACTGCTCGGACGTCTTCTGGAGGCACCTGGGGGGGGGGCAATCCATCAACCGCGGGGAGCTCATCGCGTTTCTGACGTTCCTGGAGGAGGCCCCCTGGGGCACGCTCTCATCTATGTCACGGACTCCTCGTATGTCGTGAGAAACGTCGCCAAAATTGAGCTCGGCATATTTCCAGACCAACATCGGAGTGAATGGCGCCGTGTCCAGCGCCTGCTACGAGTCAAGACTACCACAGCCTTGAAGATCGAGTCGCACATGTCGCCTCAGCAGGCTGATGAAAAAGGAGATGTGTTTTTCTCGTGAGTTGGCAACCACATTGCAGATAAGTTGGCGGAGGCCACGTCCAAGCATGTGCAGCTCGCACCTGGAGTGGTCGAGGCAGTCCATATCGCCGAGAGCTTGACACGCGCAGTGAGAACGCGAGCTTGCGACATGTTTATCCCGAGGTTTTCCGATCCCCCGGGGCCCGTGGCCAGGCCCCGTGCCCGAGCAAAAGCGCAGGCCAAAACGAAGTCGAGGCAAATTTTCAACCCTCGACCGAAGCTGGCTAGAACGTTGCATGAGAGTGCGCACGCCATGATTCCAGTAGGCGAGACGGGACTTACATGTCGTTTCGCGTGCAGTGTGTGTTGTTCCGTGGCGTCTACGAATTCCCACGGTAATAGGGCCTCCCAGGATTTTCTTGCCATTCCCTGTGTGGGCGCCCAACTTCGTGCAGGGATCGAGGGTGCCCGTTCCCTTTCCAATGTGTTCATAGGTGCCCGCTATGTTGACCCATCACACGATACGGTCGTATCAAGTAAGGGCACGTACATATGCATAACATGTGGCGCCCATGCAATTAGAAGTGCCCCGGATCTTCTCCGAGAGTGTAAGCAAGCCACACCAACGGATGTAGCTTTCCTCGAGAACTTCAAGCGGGGTGAGGCGTAGTTGGCCCACCCGAGCCGCCCCTGGCATCGGCCTTGCCCAGGTTTCCCGCTTAGCGGGAGATTGGGGCCAGACTGTCGCTGGGTGCGGCTCCTCTCTCTGTTTTTGAAACTAACCATCGGTTATCTTAGCGTCCTCCTCCTTCTCCCCCTCCCCCTCCTCCACCTCCTCCTCCTCCTCCGCCTCCTCCTCCGCCTCCTCCTCCTCCTCGGGTCGCCTACGGTCTCGGGGGAAACCGTGCAGGCGGGCACGGTGGTCCATGCAAGCTTCCCTCATCGCCGCCGCCAACATTAGAATGAGGGGCCCAGAGGGCGTTCCATGCACAGTGTCACGGACTCAACATTCGAAGGCGCGTGTTTCTCTCCAGTCCACAGCCTCAGAGGAAGCTCGTCACGACCCTTTTCCAGGGGTGGTGTTGCGCCCCAGGTCCGCTTTTGATGGCCCCAAGGCCGAAAACAGGCCCTGGAGGCCAAGGTCGAAGAAAACCGCCAGGACTGAAACATATGCAGTCGGAGAGTTGAGAAGCAGGCAGGACGGCCCAGGGGGCCCCATGTTGACACAAGCAGGGCATACGTACCTTGTCGGTTCTCGGGGCATAACTATCGGGCCCCTGGCTGCCAGTCGCGACGACTCTGGTACCCGTCTGCTGTCAACGAGGCGCAGCTGATGGAACTCCATCCAGGTCCCAACAACCCTCGAGATCTGCGCGGTTTCCCCCGGGGCCGTAAGCGACCCGAGGAGGAGGATGAGGAGGAGGAGGTGGTGGAGGAGGAGGTGGAGGAGGAGGAGATGCACGAGGAGGAGGAGGGAAAGGAGGAGGAGGAGGAGAAGATAAAGGATGAGGAGGATGAGGAGGGGGACGGGTCGCCTAAGCCCCTCGGAGAAACCCTCCATCGAGAATTCCCAGAACATCGAGGAGAGCCTTCCGAACGTCTCGCGGCCTGGGCGCCCCCCCCGCGGGGCCCGGCGGACTTCGACGCCCCCCAGTTGACGCGGTTGCTGCAGCACGTGCGCAGCTCGAGGGAAGAAACACGATGACCATGACCAATATTCGAAGAAGAAGATAAACTTTGGGCGCTCCGCGCGGACTTCTTGGATCCGCGCTGGGCCCCCCCAGGCACGGCGGCGGGATCTTGTCGATGCAGACCTTGATCATGGTCCACGCCAGCCCTCACCAGTTCGCGAGGATGATCCACGAGTTGACGATGGCCAAGACGTGGCACGCCGGCACCCAAGATCGACTCCGACGTCTCCGATGACAGTCTTCCCTGAGATCCGGCGTCGCATATATATATATATATATATATATATATATATATAGAAAAAACGCCAAAATTACGACCAGAGCCCTAGATTTTCTCTGCGACATTTGTCGAGCCGGGTCGGTCTGCGGCGGTCCTGGGGGCCCGAAGCCAGGGGGACATTCCCGGCGTGAGCAAATTCCAACCCTCGCATCTCGGGGGCCTTGGTCCTGGACCTCGTCTCCTTTCCCTCCAGCAGCAGCCTCGCCATCGGCACTCGAAGGAGAAAACAGCACCATCGGCACTCGGGGTCCAGCCCTAGGCTTGAGTCGGGCCTGTCCCTCTGCAGGAGGAGCGTCCCAAAAAAGTAAAAAATAGTCTGGGAACGATTTGTTTGAGCCTATTTCTCTTATTTGTGATCCGAAATCCGCCTGTAGGGGGACATGCCCGACCTAGCCCTAGGCCTCCCAGATGGGGTCGGAGCAGATGGGGTCGGAGGATCGCGCCCCATCGCCGATGCGGCTCGATGTGGGGCCCGATCTTCTCCACGCGGTCGTCGCCGATGCATCGACGGTGCATCGCCGATGCATCGCCAGTGGCTTCTCCCCGGAGTGCCCCTGGGCGCGCCTGCTGGCCGGAGGGAGAGGGGGCGCGAGGACGGGGGGCCAGGAGTGGCCAGGGCAGGAGGGCGTGTGCACCGAGACTGGGTTGAAGTCGGGCCTGTCCCTCCACAGGAGGGATATTCGAAAATAGTATTAAAAAAAATTGGTCCGGGGACGATTGTTCGATTATGGTTGGATCTTTTCTGTATTTGTTTTGGGGGGTATTTTTTGATTTTCCCGCTAAATCCGCCTGGAGGGGGACACGCCCGACTCAATCTTGGGCTCAGGAATCGGGGCGACCGAAAAGGGTACGGAAATATGGGGTTACGATGCCCAACGGTCAAGCAGTGGCGAAGCGTCCTGGCTCGTCCATAGGCCCACCAAATAAATGTTCTAAGAAGCTTTCGTGGTCTGCACGAAGTGTTCTCAGAACAGTTCTGGCCGAGGCTGTCTTGTTTTAGCACGTGGGGCTGATGTTCTAAGAACATTGTTCCCTACCCAGGCTCTGCCTGGAGGGTTCTTACTTTGTTTGTTTAAAGGGGCCGGGCAGTGTAAAACCCCCCCGGGCGGTTCCCCCAGTCCCCGCCCCGCGGTTCCCCCAGTTGCGCCCCCTGGGTTCATCCAGCTTAGCTAAGCTTAGCTAAGCTCAGCTTAGCTTAGCTTATCTCATCTTAGCTTAGTTTAGATTAGCTTAGTTTTGCCTAGCCTAGCTTAGCTTAGCTTAGCATAGCGTATCTCATCTTAGCTTAGCTTGGGTTGGCTTAGCTTTCTTTTCTTCTTTCTTTTTTCTTTTGTTTTTTTGTTTTTTTTTTTTTTTTTTTTTAGCTTTTTGTTTGCTTTTTTTTTTTTATGTTTTTTTTTTTTTTTTTTTTTTATTCTTTTTTTTTTGTTTAGCTTAGCTTAGCTTAGCTTAGCTTAGCCTAGCCTAGCCTAGCTTAGCTTAGCTTAGCTTAGCATAGCTTACCTTAGCTTAGCTTAGCGCAGCGCAGCACAGCGCAGCGCAGCATTGGCACAGCATAGCATAGCATAGTATAGCATAGCCAAGTATATCATAGCATAGCATAGCATAGCATAGCATAGCATAGCATAGCATAGCATAGCTCAGCATATCATAGCATAGCAAATCATAGCATATCATAGCATTGCTTAGCATAGCACAGCGCAGCATAGCATAGCATAGCATAGCATAGCATAGCATAGCATAGCATATTGTTGCTTTCCTAGAGGCTCCAACTCCTAGGTAGGGTCGCACTGGGATTATTTTTGTTATTAGAGCATTTCTGGGTTCCAAGAAGATGTCGTGGTAGGCTTATAGGAATGGTGGGACGGTCGGTCCCTGCTCAAAACAGCAGTTCTTGTTCATATTGAACAGGACTCGCTTCCGCGCCGCCGCGGACGTTCTTCACTGAAGGCAAGAAGCCGTCCGCCCAACAGTGGCCGCTGCCTGTTTTGGACAACACTTGTTATTGGGCATTGTGCCCATTTTCTCCGTACCCGTTTCGGGCGCCCAAAAGGGTGGGCCTGGACAGGATCGGTGCATGTGCACAGTTCCCTTTCCGCCGACTATTTCGAAGAAGGGAGAACGCCATAAGCCGTGCACATAAACTTTTGGCGCTCGGCGCGGGTTTCTACGATCTGCGCTGGACCCCCCTCCCTGGCGCGCTCCGCGCGCCAGGGGCGGCGCCAGAGGCGCCGCCCGGGGGGCCCAGCGCGGATCCAAGAAGTCTGCGCGGAGCGCCAAAACTTTCTGCTTGTGCCGCGCCAGAACTGCTATATCCGGATTTTTCAGGACTGCGTCCCCGGAAGTCCAGACCCTTCCCCAGGGGCCGGTTTTTCATCCCCAGTCGTTTTTTGAAAGTCCTGGGGCCCAGCGAGGGCCCCCAGGGGCCGAAAATAGGGAAATTGTTGCCGTCCGGATTTTTTTAACGACGCGACCATGTATGGGGTTTGCTTTTCTTCTACTACTGGTCCTCGTCTTCCTTCCCTCCTTCAGCAGCCGCGCCATCGGCACCGCGTCCTTTGCGCTCCAGGTCCGCACGGCGCTCTCGGCGCTTCGCCTGCTCGCGGGCCCGCGCGCGCTCTCGGGCGAGGGCGCTGCGCCGGGCACGCTTTCCGCGCTGGCCGCGCTGGAGGCCTCGTCATCGTCGTCGGCGTCGGCGTCGTCGTCTTCGTCGTCGTGTGTCGTCGACGTTGTTTGTCGTCGTCGTCGGCGTCGTCGTCGGCGTCGTCGTCGTCGTTTGTCGTCGTCGTCGTCGTCGTTGTCGTCCGTCGTCGTCGTCGTCGTCGTCGTCGTCGTCGTCGTCGTCGTCGTCGTCGTCGTCGTCGTCGTCGTTTGTCGTTTGTCGTTTGTCGTCGTCGTCGTCCGGCGGCGTCGTCGTCGTTGTCGGCGTCGTCGTCGTCGTTTGTTTCCGTCGTCGTCGTCGTCGAAAGAGGAGGAGGGCCAGTCGCGACCACGCCGGCCTTCCCAGGCGCGTTTGCCTGGTTTGCTTTGGTTCGTCTGGAGGGCATCGTTTGTTTGGGGCGTTCATTTTGGGGGGCGTCTGGGGGCGTTCGTCGCTTTTTTTGCGGGCGTCTGGGGGGCGTCTAGGGGCGTTCGTCGGTGTTTTTGTGCTGCGCTCTTCTGGGGGGCGTCAGGGGTGCCTTCGTCGCCCTGGCTGGATCCGCCGCGGGGAGCTGGTCAGCATGGGCCCCGCGCAGGGGTCCGGGGACCGATTTGTCGAGGAGGGGATCGACTACAGAATTTGCTCGGGATTTCGTGTGATTCGGACGCCGTCAATTCATGACATGCCCGCAGGCCCTTTTTTCGAGCTGCGCTGGAAGAAAAGAGCCATAAGATACGCTTTCGCGTAATTTCCGCCATGGTAGCGGAGAGCGTGGTGTTGTGGTGAATTACGCAGATCAGATCCACGGGAAGACTGAGGACGTGGTCTGCACATGGCAGCGACGCCCAGAGATCAGTTGGTGGATTGCAGAGGCGACATCAAGCTGCCAGAGTTCACTGGCAGAGATGAGGACTGGCCCAACTGGTCCATCAAAGCGCATGCGTTCTTCGCGCTGATGGGCTGGGATGACCTCATCGACAATGTTGAGGCCCAGCCAGCGCTCGCGGTGGACAACGTCAGCATAGGCGAGCGCGCGGCAGCGACGAGCAAGCTGCTGCATGCCATGCTGATCACCAAGACCCAGCGCAAGGCGCTGGCGATGGTTACGCTCGCTTGCAGGCGCGAGGGCTTCGTCGCCTGACGGGCGATCAAGAATGAGTACGAGCCCGGGGTGGGCAACAGGTTCGCGGCCGTGCTCAGCGGCCTGCCCAACCCCAGGTGGGACGACCAGAAGAAGCCGTTCGCCGATCAGCTCGTTGACTGGGACAACGACGTGGCGAGGTACGTCATGCAGGCGGGGAAGGATTTCGGCGACGAGTTTCGCATCGCCACGCCGCTCGTCCATGGCCCCGAGCCGTAGGAGACCGTGCTGCGCAACGCTCCGACGGCCGCCAAGGTCTCGCCCACGGCGCTGCGGACCCGCCTGAGAGGTGGACGGCGGCTGGACAGGTCTTCGCAGCCAGCGGCACGGTGGACCAATGCGATCGGCGCGATCTCGGGCCATGCCCTGCCGCAACAGCCTTGGCCCAAGCGCAAGGGCGACAAGTCGGGCGGCGGCAAGGGCGACAAGATGGGCGGCAAGGGCGACAAAGGCGGCAAAAGCAGGAAGAAATGGGTCAATAATGACAAGCTCAAGGGCAGCACCCCCGCCAAAGTCGAGGGAACCTGCCCCCGGTGCTTACCCTGCGGGCGCTGAGCGCATCCTCGCAGACAGTGGCAGCGACGAGCACCTCTGCGGCCAGGCGTTCGGGGCACAGCGCCCGACAGTTCAGGAGGGCCCCGCGGCGCTCAAGCTCACCACAGTGAGCGGCCAGAGGCTTGGTACCGAGGGACTTCGTAGGATCCCGATGGTCGCTGGCGGCGAGAAGGGTCGCCAGCCATGCCTGGGGAACCTCAGAGTGAGCAGCGACCTCGCCCCTCAGGACGCGGTGCTCAGCCTCTCGGGAAGCTGGCGCGCAAGCAGTTCAGGTTTGTCCTCGAGGAGAATGGCCCGCGCGCCGTGAACCTCAGGACGGGCGAGCGGGCGGACATGAAGCTAGTTGGCAACGCGCCCTATTTCGCCGCGCAGATCCACGACGCGATGGGCGAAGCCTAGCTGGCAGCCTGCCCCGCCAGGGTCGCCGCTGCAGGTGCCACTGGAGCTCCGTGGGGGGCGGCGCGAGGAGAGGGTCCTCCGCCGCGCCCAGAAGCTCAAGGGCCACGTGACCCAGCACCACCAGATGCAGGAGCTGCGCCACCTCGGGCGCAGGAGGCGGCGGCGCTACAAGGGGCGCAGGAGGCGGCGGCGCCCGCGCAGGGTCAGGGGGCACCTGCGGCGGCGCAGCCGCCAGGCCGGTCATGCCTCGAGGGGCTCGGGCCGAGTTCGAGGATCGACGCCATGCAGAAGCGCCTCGAGGAGATCTACGCCCCGCACTACGGGGCCAAGGCACAGTGCTGGGCACGGCTCGTCGAGTACGAAACAGACGCAAGGTGAGGGCGGCGACGGATGGCAATCGCGAGCTGAGGCGCGAGAATATGGGGCGCCAGGCGGAGACGGGGCAAGTGCCGGGGCCGACCGCGTTCCCCGACGTCCGCGAGCCGACGCCAGAGGAGAGACAGCGCCATGGGGAGAACCAGGGCTGCCCACCGCGGCGCCGGCGCGAGCGTTGTCAGATGGGGCGGGGACGTGACGGGCCCCGCGAGCTCCTAGATGCGGAGGCGGAGCGCCCCCCCGCGATCGGGCTCGACCTGGCGCTCTTCAAGGGCGAGGCAGCCGACGACGCGGAGGCGTGCCCCCGCGCCGAGGATGGCCAGACACAGGACGAGGAGGTGGTACTGGTGGTCGCGGATGCTGACACGGGTGCCATGAGGGGCGCCCCGAAGCCTGACCGACGCGCTGACCCCTATGCGGCGGCAGCCACGGTGGCGTTCACCAAGAGCATCCCAAGGCCAGACCACGAGGATGTCATGATGGACCTGGCCAACAAGGTCGAGGCAGAGCTGCCCAACCGCGCGGTCGTGAGACCTGCTCCCGCGCTCAGCCCCCAGTCGGGCCCTTCCGAGAACGCGAGCGGCATCATCCAGGCGCAGCTCCGCGCTAGCAGGAGCGCGCTGGAGGCGCGACTGGGGGCCAGGGTCCGCCCGGGCACGGCCGCGCGCAAATTGTTGCAGCGCCGCGCGGGCTGGGCACGCACCAACCCGGGGATCAAGGCGAGCGGTCGCGCCGCGCATGAGGACCTCCACGGCCGCGCCTACACCAGGGAGATGGCCTCCCCATGGGGAGTCCGCCCTGGCGCGCCTACCTAGGGGCAAGAATCGCAGGGCAAGAGGCAAGGTGCACCGCGAGGGGGGCATGGGCTTCGCGAGGGCGGTCTGGCTAGGGAAGAGCTACGACACCGACGAGCGCAGATGCGCCTTGGAATCCACTGCCCCTCTGTTATGAGGCCGTTGTATAGGAGAGGGAACAGAGGACACAGTGTTTGCACAGCTTTGAGGAATTAGTGAATTCAGCATGGGTCCGGCTCGAAGTGCCTCGAAGAAAGCGCGCGCACCCGAATCGCAGACATATGGCTATATGCGGACCCGGGATACTTTGCTTCCTGGCGTCGTCCTCGCCCTTGCTCCGTTCCCCTTCCTTCCCCCCCCCCCTGGATGGCGTCGAAAGCGTCCGCGGCTCGGGCGGGGGGGCGCCCTTTCCCACCTCCCTCATTATTCCTCGTTCCTCTTTGCCTCCCTGCCCCACCATCCGTCGTCCTACCTCGCCTCCCTGCTCCACCATCCTCGTCCTACTTCGTCCTACCTCGCCCCCATCCCTACCCCGTCCCCTAGTCGCTGGCGCCGCGCGCCCGCGTCAGCGGTAAATGCTTTTTCGATATCCCGAGCACAGCGGCGCAACCAAACAGAGGGGATTGCCAGTGCGAGAGTTCGGGGCGCACCCAAAATGCGGGCGGCACGGCCGCCGAACACAGTCGCGTCGCTAACATGTAAATTATAGGTGCCTGCGGCAAGGTCCGCCCCCTTGCCAGAGCAGTGATCTATATGGCGACGCGTGGATCTTTGACTTGTGAAGAGGTCCTTGACATGTGACATCTGTCGTGTTGTCGGATTGTTGCGCGGCATTCTTTGGGGTCCTTCGAGGCCTTTTGGGGCGTCTTCGGGCCGTTGGGGGCCGCTCTGGCGCCGCGTTGCACCGCGGCTGCCCTGGGCCAGGGAAGCGCGCATTTGCAGCTCTCTCGGGGGCGCCCTGGGCCGGGGAAGTGTGCATTTGCATCCCCCCCCCAGCTGGGCATGTCAAACTCGGTTCTGGCTTGGCAAAGTCGGGGCGCCCTCGAGGTGGCGAGCGTGCACGTTTTCGAAATACACAGATCAAGGTGTGATCTGTGTACACAGCTTGTGTCTTCAACTGTGTATTTTCGTGTGTGGGCCCGCTGTTTACACAGATCGTGGTGTGATCTGTGTACACAGATCTCGTTCCCATCTGTGTATTTGGAGTGTGCCCCTCGCGGGTGGTGTTGAATGGGCGGGAATTTTCGCGTTTCTTCCGGCTGGTCCAGGGGCGGCGTCGTGCGCGGTCGAAATGCGCAGCTCGTGTCTCCAACTGTGCATTTGTTGCGCGTCTCTCGCTGGAGTGGTCACTGGGCGGGAGTTTCCGCGGGTCTCCCGGCTGGTCCAGGAGGGGGCCGTGGTCTGTGCACGCAAAGGCGCGGGGGGTGGGGATGGTGGGCTGTGGGAAGGAGGGGGTTCGATAGGAGGGGTGGCCGAGGGGCCAAGGATGGACGGGACTGGACGAGAGCGGAGGAAGAGAGCCCAGGAGGATCTGCACCATCGGCGTCAGCATCACGAGGGCGAGGGAGGTGGGGGGGGGGCAGAAGTTGGGGGCATGATGTGCACTAGGGCGTAGAGGACGGGAGGAGGGCAGGCATGTGGACGATGGGGGAACGAATCCGGTTCAGGAGGACGACGAGGAACGACGCGAATTGACACATGGGGGGGGGGCAGCGTGGATGAAGGGCATGATGAGGACCGGGGCAATCGGAGGGGCATGAGGGGGG